CCGCAAAGTACAGGCTGCCCTCCGCCTCCTCCGCACGCGCAAACCACTCGCGGAAGAGGGCACCCCCGCCGACCGACGAGGGCGACGCCGCGCCGCCGCCGCCGCCGCGCGCGCGCAGGGCCTCGTACCCCTCCGCCGCCGCGCGCGTCGCCTCCGCCCGCACCGCGCGGCAGAGAAGCGCCTCGCCGCCCGGCAGAGACTGCAGCGCGCCGAGCAGCGGCGAGGGAGGGAAGGAGTGGCGAGCGAGGGCGCGGCAGCGGCCGGGCGCGATCGGCTGCACGCTCACCTCCTCGCCCAGCCGCGGCTCGCTCGCCGACGACCGCGCCACCGTCGGGCCGTCGAAGCTCGCCTCCCCGAGGGCGGCGCCGGCAGACAGGGCGCGCAGCAGCGGGCTGGCGGCGGCGAGCGGCTCGGCGTCGAGTCGGTGCGCCACCACGGCGGCCCAGTCGCACTCGTAGTCGAGCACGGTGCAGACGGACAGCCCCTCCGCAGGGGCCTCGGGCAGCCGACGCCCGTCCGCCGAGAGGGCGTTGCCGCGCCACACCCACAACGCGCCCGCGCGCTCCTCGACGGCGTAGCTCTCGCAGCTGGCCGTCCTGGCGGGCACCTTGCCGCCGGGGATGGTGGGGATGCTCGTGCACCGACCCTCCTCCCCGAACGCCCAGCCGTGGTAGAAGCAGCGCAGCTGGCCCTCCTCGACGTCGCCCATCGAGAGCGGCGCCGACCGGTGCGGGCACACGTCGGCGACGGCGACCGGCGCGCCGAGCCGGTCGCGGTAGAGGACGATGGGCTCGCCAAAGAGGCGGGTGGCGAAGGGACGCTCCGTCCCCAGCTGCTCCGACAGCGCGACCGGGTACCAGCGCGCGGTCATGCCGCTGTGCCCTCGCGGCTCGGCGGCCGCCGCCGCCGAGCCGACCGCGGTCGGGAGAGAGAGCCCGAGCTCCGCCACCATGCACGGCGGTGGCGAGCGCGAGGCGGGCGCGGCGGGCGCGCGCGCCGCCGCCTGGTAGCCGGCAGCCAGCGCGATCACAAAGTGCTCCATTGTGTGTGGGCGAGCGAGCCGGCGCAGGGTGGTGAATTGCTCGGCTCGCTGTTTCATTAACGGTGCCACCAGTACACGCAATCACAGACAGGGACGCGGGATGCTGAAACGAGAGGAGAGAGACACGTGGGTTAGATTTATCTTTTAGATATCTTTCACCGCACACCGGCGCGGACTTTCTTTGTTTCTAGAAGGACTTCGGCGGCAGGCCGCCCCTCCTGTCTCTGTCAACCCCCGCAGCTCCGCGTCCCCCCCCCGCAATGGCAGCGGCCGCCCCGCCGGCCAGCGGTCGCGTCTTCCAGTTCAAGCTCGTGCTGCTCGGCGACAGCGCAGTCGGGAAGAGCTCGCTTGTGCTGCGCTTTGTGCGCGGGCAGTTCTTCGAGTACCAGGAGTCCACCATTGGCGCTGCGTTTCTGACGCAGACGGTCGCGCTCAACGACACGACCGTCAAGTTTGAGATTTGGGACACGGCCGGCCAGGAGCGGTACCACTCGCTCGCGCCCATGTACTACCGGGGCGCTGCTGCAGCAATCGTCGTGTACGACATCACAAACAGGGTGCGCGAGCGCGCGCCCGCTGCACGCGCCCTCGCGAGCGCGCCGCCCCGGCGCCCCCCCGGCCGTACCCCCCTCCAGCCATTCCCGCGCGAGGGCCGGCTCTGCACGCGCCTGCTGCGCGCGTCTGCCGCGCCGCGTGCGCTGCGCGCGCCCTGCGCGCGCGTCTGCCGCGCCGCGGCCGTCCTCCCCTGCGCCCGTCGCGGCCTGAGGAGCGTTCGCTGCCGCGCAGGACACGTTCCAGCGCGGGAAGCAGTGGGTGAAGGAGCTGCAGAGGCAGGGCAACCCAAACATCGTGATTGCGCTTGCGGGCAACAAGTCTGACTTGGCGTCCAAGCGCAAGGTGGAGCCGGAGGAGGCGGAGTCGTATGCGAGCGACAACGGCATCTTCTTCATGGAGACGAGCGCGAAGACGGCGACCAACGTGAACGAGCTCTTTGTCGCGATCGCGCGCAAGCTGCCCAAGAACACGCCACAGCCGCGGCCGGGCGGCTCGGGCATCGTGATTGCGGGGCAGAACGGGCAGGCTGCCGCGGAGGCGAAGAAGGGGTGTTGCTGAGGTAAAGGGGACGCGCGGGTTGCAGCGGTAGGGGCAGGAGCTGTTCGGAGAGAGGCCAGCGTGGAGAGATTGCGTGCCGGGCGAGGTAGGGTGTGCGCCGTCCATCTAGGGCCCACGCGGAGAGTGGATGCGTGCGGCTCGCCCAGCCGCGCACGCCCGACTGCCGACACAGGTAACGCGCGAAGCTATATTTTGCCGTGTGTACTTTCTGTGACCAAATATTAAAATATTTACCACGCACTGACTGACCCACTGAACTCTGTGTAACAGTCCTAACAGGGTGTGTACGCGGCGGACTGGGCGACTGCGCCAGGACTGCGCGCGGGCGCGGTCTCTGCCAGGGGGCACACCGCACACGGCGACGCTGTATACTATTCAAGCCATAATCTGCGGCCAGATAACGAGACGAACGACACCGCGCGCAGCCGGCGGCATCGAGCATCGCCATCGGCGGACGGACCCGGACGGGGCGCCGCGCCATCCCGATCCGCCATCTCGCGCGAGAGATACTCGCGCGCATGCTCGCGCGATATGTGCCGCACGACACCCACACACGGTACGACGTAGCGCCCTGCGACGTAGTTAATATCCAGAGAGGGAGATAACGAGTGGAGACCTATGTCATCGCGTGACCATGCGGCACCGCTGAGCGCGCCGTGCCGGGCTGTCAATCGCATACAGCTGCGCGTTTCGCAGCGTGTGCATGTATTGCAGCGTCCGCTCATCCGCCCAAGGTGCGCTCTCGAGGTCATCGCCCGCTGCCTCGTACACGCGCCGCATATTCTCGCGCAGCGAATCCGCCGACAGCAGCCCGCCGAGCTGCTCTGCAGTACCAACCCACCAGTCGGGCTCGGCGGCGAGGAGGCCGTCGGCGGCGCACGCCTCGTAGTGGCGGTCCTCCAGCCAATCGGCCACGAGGAGATTCTGGCGGAGCGTCACGTCGAGAAGCACGTCCGCATCGGAGACCGCCGAGGGCCCCGCCGGTCGAAAGACCAGAAAGGTGTGCACGGTGCCCGCCTCACACCGCCAGAGCGTGCCCCGCACCCCGCCCACGGCAATGTCGGCCCAATACCTCCCGAGCGGGCCGGGCAGCCTACCCGCGGCGGAATGCAGTCCCGACATGCCGTCCCGAAATCCGCCATGCGCTGCCTCGCGAGCGAGTTTCCGCGCCCTTTGCTTCTCGTCGTCGGTAGCCTGAGCCGGTGGCTGGAGAAACCACGCCGCCATGAGCCCGTAGAATCTGCCGACGCCCTTTGTCGCGTTGACTTCTGCCATGCTGGAATCGAATCCGAAGCGTGCCTCGATCAGAGCGGCGGCGAGAGCCGAGTAGTAGGTGCAGCAGCGGGCGCGGAGGTGCGCTCCAGCCGCAGAAGAGAAGCATGGATCCCGCGAGCCCAACGCCAATTCGTGTGCGTGCACTGCTCGTATCCCCGTCTCGACCTCGCTCGCGACCAAGTCGGACAGAGTCGCGACGACGTGATCGAGCGCGGTTTGATCGAGCGGCCGAGCGAGAGCAGTGTAGAGCGTCAGCAGCGCCTGTGCCGCCACGCTTCTCATTCTCTCTCCGCTCGGCCCACGCCGCTCTAGCTCATGTCGCCGAAGTTTTTCTTTCTCTGTCCTTTTCGGAATAGAGGACAATCAATCCCTCACTCGAGTAGAAGGAGAGGTTTCCCCCCTCCCATTGATTGCTTGCGCTGCAGCTTCACATCTCGGCGGCTAGCTCGGCGGCGGAAGTGAGTGTTCCCCTCTAGCAGCGGCGGCGCCACCAAGCACGAGAGAAGAGAAAGTCCTCCTTATCAGCTGGTCGCTTCGCTCTCGCTCGCCTTGTCCGGCGCCGCCGCGCGGCCGGCCACGGCTGCGCCCGGCCTCGTCTCCACGGTCTCAGACGGCCTCATGGCGCCTACTGACGCCGACGAGACGGAGCGCGTCGGATTCGTGCTGCACAAACTTTCAATCTCGCCGACGCTTTATGAGGCACCGAATCGACCAGAGCCAGCAGCAGAGCACTCCTCGCCTGGCTCGGTCGGGTCAGCGCCCGACTGCGATCGACTGGCCTCCAGTTCGAACCCAGGTGGGCCTGCTGCCGGCCGCGATGGCTCGCCAGAGCTGCCGGGCTTGCCCAGCCTCGCTGGCGCCTTTGGCGAGGCTGGGGTGGCTGCTGGGCATGACGACATCGCAGCAATGACCTCCACGCTGCGGAACATCCGACTGGGGCTCGCACAGGAAGCCGCAGCGACCCGCGTTCAGCGGGCGATGCGCGCGTTCCTGCTGCGCAAGGGCACCATCATCATCACGATCCTCATCACCAAGATACAGGCCGCTGCGCGCGGCCTCAACACTCGCACTTCTCTGAACAACTTCTTCAAGGCCTGCCCGCCCAGCGGGCGCACCGCCGACCTCTTCCTCAGCCGCGTCTACGGTGGCCACGAGGGCGGGCGGCGGCGCGGCGGCGGCTACGTCGTCGATTTCATCTACTGTTTGCGCTCGACCCGTCTTCCTCTCTCTCTTCCGGAAGCGCTGGCCCGATTCCCTCTCGAATTATACAACCCTCACGACACAGTGCGCGACTGCCACGGAACCAACGGGTTCTGCAACCAACACGAGGTCAACGGAGAGCAGCTGAGCCTGCCTCCGCCCTCGTCCCCCTTCACCTCCGGTGAGTCGCCCTGCCCCAGTCGTCCAGAGCACGACCTCTGGCGAGTCAGCCGGTCACTTGATGACGACCTGAAGAGCAAGAAGAAGACAAGGCAAAACGACAAGAAGCGCGCCAAGGCCAAAGCAGCGGCTATCGCCGCTGCAGCGGCCGAGGAGGCTGCTGCAAAGGCGGCTGCTCAGGCGGCCGCTCAGGCCGCTCAGGCGGCCGCTCTCGGACGGTACAGGTTGGTCAACGCTTGGTTCTACCCCCGCGGCGACTGGTACACCTTCTACTGGGATGGCAGCTCGGCCGACAAGGTCGCAAGGCGCGCTACCTACCCGACGCTCGAGCACGACGACCACGACCCCGGCCCCCTCGCAGAGCGCATCAGGCGCGACAAGCGCGAGGCGTCCCACCGCTCCTCCGACGACTCCTCCTCCGACCGCGACTCGTGCGGCACCGGCTCCACTAGCGAGGCGAATGACATATTCGACGCCCTCGAAGACCATCTCGGCTACGGTTCCGACTCCGGCTCCGGCTGGTAGTCGACAAGCTGCCGAGCGCAAATCACTCTGTGTGACACATTTCTTGTTGGCTTCTAAAAATCTCTCTCGAGAGAAGAAGTCGTGCTTTCTTGTTGGTTAATAAAAATCTCTCTCTCTCTCCAAGCACGAGCTTGAACTGCGAAGATGACGCGACCGCTGGAAACGGGGCGGCCGCTGCCATTGCCGGGGGACGCGGAGCTGCGGGGGTTGACAGAGACAGGAGGGGCGGCCTGCCGCCGAAGTCCTTCTAGAAACAAAGAAAGTCCAGGCCGGTGTGCGGTGAAAGATATCTAAAAGATAAATCTAACACACGTGTCTCTCTCCTCTCGTTTCAGCATCCCGCGTCCCTGTCTGTGATTGCGTGTACTGATGGCACCGTTAATGAAACAGCGAGCCGAGCAATTCACCACCCTGCGCCGGCTCGCTCGCCCACACACAATGGAGCACTTTGTGATCGCGCTGGCTGCCGGCTACCAGGCGGCGGCGCGCGCGCCCGCCGCGCCCGCCTCGCGCTCGCCACCGCCGTGCATATGACGGAGCCCACATGATGACGAGCGGTCAAGAGCTCAAGACCCGTCCAGTGTATCTAGATAGTTGCATCTAATCCCGGACATTTCAGAACCGAGAGTAAGCGCGGAGTGGAAAGCCCGTCGCCGCGTAGTATCATGCGCGCCGCGTCCGCCGCGCCTCCTCGGCGTGAGATCGTTACGTTGCTGCTCGCGGCTACTGCGCTCGCTCGCGGAGAGCTGCCCTGGCCGCCGGTGTGGGCCAGCGGTGGAGCCTGCGACCTTGGGCTGACGTATCGTCTCTCGTCTCGAGCGAGTGTGGAGGAGGGCCTCAGCCGGTACACGGTATTTGTGAAGGTGGTTGACTGGCGACCCTCGGCGCGCGTCGCAATGGACTTTGGCGGCGAGGTGCTGGCGCCCACCAACAAGCAGCGCTGCAGCCTTGCCGCTCAGGAGCCGTCCGACCTGTCGCTGGGAAGGCTGGTGCTCGTGCTGGAGGGAGGCAGCAAGCAGCAGTTCCAGTTCGACATCGAGACGCATCACAAACTTAGCAGGCAGGGCGGTGCGGGCGAGATCCTTATGGCGTGCCCTGCGCTGCTGCCGCCCGCCCCACCGCCGATGCCGGAAGGCCAAGGTGATGAACGCGCCACGATATTCGGCGGGGCCGAGGCCTACCTCGAGCAGCTACCTCAAGGGGCTGTTGTCACGCTGGGGGTGCTTGTGGCGCTGAGTGGCACAGCCATGGCCCTCTTTCTCGTTCTGCGCATTCTACGGGCGCGCAGTCGCTTCAGGCGGTTTGACCTGGACGCCAGCGGCGGTCCACGCACGACGACATTGGGCGGCGGCCAGAGGACGTGCGTCCCGCTCGCTCGGGCGACCTCCGACGACGTGCTGCGCGCAACCACACAAGCGAGTCCGGGCGGGGCAAAAGCTGCCGCGAGCAAGTATCGCACGCCGCGATTCGCTGAGATCGACGAGGCGGAGGCGTTGCGCGCAGCCATCGAGATGAGGCAGATGAGCCGGTCTGCGAGGGCTCACCGGGAAGCGGCCATACCCGGCGTCGCGGATACGATGGACTGAGTTTGATGTTGTCTCCGTATAGACGCAGCAAAAATGCGAGCAAGCCGCGCAGAAGGCAACCTTTTGAAGCGAGCCATTGTGCGCGCGCGGCGCCCCGCCCCACTGACTAGTCGATATCTAGAAAAACACACACCCCAATAAAAAGCAAAAAAACTCTCCGCGCGCGCGCAGCACACACACACACACACGTGCTAGCACACGTGTGCGACACGAATTTATGAGGACACACACTTCAACACGACGCCCACGCCCAACACCGTACAAGTCTCAGTGCAAACCCCCCAGAGTTGCCTAGTCTGGTTGCATCACCATGGCTACGCCCGCCAGGATCCACTTGTGTGCGGGGACGGTGGTGCGCAGCGGTGCGGCAAAGACGAAGGTTGGCCCATGGATCGTGGTCATGAAAATTGGGCACTGGTAGACTCCCTCCGTCTTGAGCTGATCGACGGTGACGGCGATGACGTGAATCATCGGCATCACTGGGTGGAGCTCCTTGGGGAATGACTCCGCGATGCAGTTGCTCGCGATGTCCCACCTGGCGCCCTCCATGAAGAGGCCATGGATGTTGGTACCGCGCTCGGGCTGTACCTCTACTGTGCTGATGTCGAGCACGTCCGTCACCTCGGCCTGCACGCGCATCTCATCGAGAGAGTACCCCTCCTTGCGCGCCGTGACTTGCATGCACGCCGTGACGTAGCCCATCGGGTTGAACGTCCCCGAGATCCAAACCGAAGGTGGACACTCCTCCAGCGGCTTGGTCGGCGCCGACCAGTCCTCCAGCTGCTTCCATCGAAGCTGCAGGTCGTCGTACCAGGCGCTGAGGGTCTTCCGGTTGTATGTACCGGTCGGTCCAATCTGGCCGCAGATCTTGAGCCACGCGGGCGGGACCTGGTTCAGGTACAGCGAATTTATGAGCGCATCCATCGCGTCGGAGATGTTGAGCGCGCCCGAGAGGCCGAGCGAGAGCTCCGTCAGCTGCGACTTCATTGTGTTGAGGACGAGGTTCATGCGCTCGAGCTCCTGCAGAAGGAAGACGAGGTACGGATCGCCCTTGTTCTTGATACGCAACTTGATCTCAACCATGTTGAACTCTTCCCGCAGCAGCTCCTCAATGCCTTCCAGCACCGACTTGACCTTCTCCTCCTTGCCCCCGCCGCCGCCGCCGCCGCCGCCGCCGCCCGAGACGGAGAGGATGGTGAAAAAGAGGTTGTTGCAGAGAGAGATTAGGAGAGAGATCTCGGCGTTCGGGTGCATGCCAAAGAGGATGGGCGACTCGGGCGGCGAGGCCACCTCAATGTACTGCCGGTAGTCCTCGAAGCTTCCCTCGAGCAGCGGCGCAAAGCCGGGCGCCAGCTGGAAGCGCGACTTTTCGTCGGTGAGGTCGGGGTTGAGGAGCACCTCGAGGTACGTGTTGGTGACTCGCCGGTCCCACGGGTCGGTGATGTGTCCACCGTACATAATCTCGCCCGCGATGTAGCGCACATCCTGCCACGGCGTCTGCTCGTTGGCCTCGAGGTAGTTTTGCAGCACGGCGGCGCACACAGTAAGGTCACCGTTGTTGTACGGATACTGGCGCGAAAAGCCCATGAACCCGAACTTGCGACGGCCAAGACAGAGTGCGTGGAAGAAGCACAGGCCGAGCAGCATCGGGCGGTGGAAGACCGGCTTGGTCGACTTCTCAAATGTCTCTTGCGAAAAGAGCGACAACGCCGAGCGGAGGTTCGACTTGATGTCCGTCGGCGGCTCGTTGGCAACCTTGATGGACGACTGCATGATACCCTCGGGCACGGTCTGCATGTCGGGCAGCGGTGGAGGCTCGGCCGAGAGGAAGCAGCGGAAATTCTTGTGTCCCACCTCACGTCGTCCACAAAGTTGTGCAGCTCGAGATCGAGCATGTCGCTCAGCTTGAAGTTCGGGTTGTGGATGTCGATCGTCTTTGACGTGATCGACATGAGCTTCTCCCAGTGGCGGTCGCGCATGGACGGCGACTTGAGGTCGGCGATGCACGGGACGGTCATCGCAAAGTTCTTGACAAGCATGTCCACGCCCCGGTACGCGTTCCAGTCCCGTACGGTCTTGTCGAGACCGCGCACCATCTTGGTGAAGGTCTTGGTCTCGTCCTCCATCTCGCCCACGCTGACGTCGGTCCACAGCACCTGCCTCCACTCGTCGAGCTGCGACTGGACGATGCACTGCAGGTCCCACACGCCCTTGATTCTGATGCGCTCGTCCTGCATCTTGGCCATGGTCTCCCTGGCCGCTTGCACCTTGTCCCCAAACTCGAACAGCTCCGCTAGGTCGGACATCTTGTGGCTCTCGCGCTCGAGGTCGGCCATGTGCGACGCAACGGCGTTGAGCTGCGAGTAGGCGGCGTCGAACGAGAGCTCGCTGGAGAAAACATCGCCCTCGAGGAACGCCTCGCGCTCGCCGGCGATCTTCTCCTCAAACTCTTGCAGCGTCGCGATCACGCGCATCGCCTCGGCGTCCTGCAGCGGCCGCACCGCCTTGCGCACCTGCGGCGCGGTCTTCTTGACGGCGCTCAGCACCTCAACGACGGCATCCAGCTTCCGCTGCAGCGCCTCGGTCTGAGCCGCCCCCTGCGTGCCCATGTAGGCATGGGGAGGGGGGGGTCCACTCTGAAGACTGCCGACCGCGGGGGGGTTTTGTCCCACAGGGTTTTACCCTCCGCGTGAGGATCGGCGCGGCGAGGGGGTAGGTTCGAATTCGCCGCGCAACATTTCACCCCCACAGGACCCCGCCCACCCCCCCTCATGGTCCCACCTAGTACCCCAATGAGCCTTCGCACCCCCTCCTTGCGCAGTGTCCCCCACTATGTGTCGCCGTTATCGGGGCACGCTATCCTGTGTAGTCAGGGCAAGTGGGGGCGGGGGGCACTCCCATCTCTCCTGTGTACGGGTGGTGACTGTCTCTAGTCTCGGAGGGGGGCTTGAAGCTAAGAATATTTTATTTTTCAACGAAGTGCGTTATTTTGCGAGGTGTCGATGCTCTTCGCAGTCGCACTCACAACAGCGTTGGCGCTCCACGCGTCTCCGCGCCTGCTGTCCCCGCGCGCTCATGCTGCCTGTGCGCGGAGTACTGTCTGCGTCGCGCAAGCCACGGAAGCGCAGGACGCATTGATCGCCAAGCTGCGGGCCGCGCCGCTCGACGGGCTCACGGCAATAGTGGCAAACGACATGAAGGCCATTGACCAGCGCTTTTTCCTGCGGCTGGCCGAGCTGGCAGACGCGGCCGACGATGAGGCGGATCGCGATTCGATCGCGGAGCTCGCGAGCAGTGTCGCCAGCTCCGTCGAGACGCTGCTCCGGCTCGCGGATGAGAAGATTCAGGATGACGGCTCAAAAGCGCAGGCGATCCTCCAGATCGCCGCGTCCGAGAGCGGCGAGTTCGAGGTGCCGATCCCAGCGGAGCGGGCGGCGGCCGTGCGGGCCGCCATCCGCGAGCGCGGCGGCTCGCTGGACGACGGATTTGTCGCGACCATCAAGGCGTACATGTCAAAGGCGGACAAGGACGGTGCGCGCGGCCCCCCCGCGCGGCGACTGCCGCAGCCCCGCTGCCGGCTCTCCTCGCCTGAGGTCCGTCGCGCACTCCGCCGCAGGCATGGAGGGGCTCGTCGAGATGCTGCGCGAGGTGCTGCAGCTCTTCGCGGCCGAGCGGCTGCTTGCGCTGGTCGAGCCGAGGCTGGAGGATGGCTCGGGGCTCGCGGCTGCGCTGCGCGCCGTGCTCGCCGCGAAGCCGGACGAGTGGGAGGAGACTCTGCGCGGGCAGGTTGCCACGGCCGAGCCCGTGTGCGGGCCGCTCGAGCTGCAGTCGGCGCTGCAGGACCAGATGGGTGAGGTTGTGCTGGGCATGCCGTCGGGGTCGGCGCTGCAGGCCCTGCTGGCCGAGTACCTCAACGAGCTGCTCGAGCGGACGCGAGTCATCGTCGCCGAGCTCGCCTAGACGACCGTCGGTGTGCGGTGTGGCAACGCGCCCGGGCGTGCTCGTCGCTCGGAGGCGTGAGAAGCACTTTTTCAGTTAGAGCTCGTTTAGCGTGAACCACGTCCGTCGCGCACCACATCGCGCACACCCACGGGCCACGGCGGACAGTAGCGAAGGACAAACACTCAGAGCCGACGGGCAGATTTCCAGGAAAAGGTCCATTCATTCACAGACACAGTCCGTCCGTCAGTCCCATGACGCTTTGAGTTTGACTATTGTCTATTGAGAAAAAAATAGCTGGCAATGGCTTGGAGGGGTTGCGGTGCGTCACAGACCTTGTTATTGAGAAGAAAACACGTCGCTTACCTATTCACAGCCAGTGTTTGCCTTCATCGACGGTTTCGCTCCGCTCAGTTGTTGGCAGCATCCGTGCTTCCGTCACCGATTGACCTCTCGCTGATATGCCGCATGTCGTTGGCTGGGGGCGTGCGGTGCGGGGCCAGCTTGGTCTCGACGACGAGTATCGAGGCAGCCATGCGGTCCCGCCGTCCCTCGCATTCCGAAAGCTATCAGAAGAGAACACTGTCGTCATGGTTGCTTGCGGCGCCGACTTCACCATCCTACTGCTCAAGTCTGGAGACGTCTTTGCCAGCGGCTGCAACCTCGCCGGCCAGCTGGGCAACTCTGCGGTGGGTGCATTTAGTGCCAAGCCGGTGCCCGCACTGGCGGGAAGGGATGCCCTCAAAGTGGCGTGCGGAGCACAACACGCGAGTGCCGTCACGCACACTGGAGAAGCATTCCTGTGGGGGCTGAATGACTCTGGTCAACTCGGTCTTGGACACCGCAAGCCGTGCCCGCAGCCGGTGTCGTTACCGCCTCCAAACCTGTTGAAGACGTGCGATAGCTTCCCCCAGAGCGAAAACCGGCCGATGCTTCCCATGCTGACGAGATCGAAGAGCTCCATGCGCTTCAGCCTCGGGGATGAGGCATCGGGCATTGACGGGGCGTGTGTGATCGAGGACGCCGACGTCCTCCGCCGCAAGGTCCTCCATGCGCGCGGCAGTTGGGCGGAGTTTGTCGCCGGCGTGGAGGACCGCACGTGGGGCTGGCGAGAGATTGCCTGCGGCGCACAGCACACCGTCGCCACTTTCCGCTCCCACGACCAACGGGAGCTGCACGTGCTGGCATGGGGATCGGGTGCTGCCGGCTGCCTCGGCCACGGCGACCACGTCGACTCAAGCTCCCCCGTCGAGATCGACGAGGTGACGCGGCAGCAGCTCGACGTCATCCAGGTGTCCGCCGGCGCCAACCACAGCGCGCTCATGTGCCGCAACTCGGAGGTATGGACGTGGGGCTACTGCGCAGACAATCGGCTCGGTCTAACAACCTCGAGCGTCGCCGCGAGCCAGGCTCAGCTCCGCAGGTTGTCTCTCCGACTGGCCCGAGGAGCGCCGCTCAGCTACTCTGACCTAGACGTCGTGGCCAAGCTGCGACCAGAAAAGGAGAAGGAGCAGGCTTGGGCGGGGGTGCTGACCCTTCTACGCTCTGGCGACGCGCTCTGCAGCCACGACCAGGCGATGCTTTACGCGCGGGTCGAGGAGGCCCTCCTGGAGAAGGAAGTCTGTCTCGCGCCGGGCCAATTCCGTTCGTCGGTCCCGCGCCGGGTTGCCGCGCTGCTCGGTGCGCCCATTGTGCAGGTAAGCTGCGGGAGTGCGCACACTGTCGCCGTCGCTGCCAACGGCGAGGTCTGGGGCTGGGGTTCGTCTTGCTTCGGCCAGCTGGGGCGGCAGCGGAAGAGCCTCGAGCCCCAGGTCATCCCTGCTCTCTCGCACCGTGATGCGATTGAGGCGGCGTGTGGAGCGCATCACACCGCAGTCGTGACGCGAACCGGCGCCGTCTTGACCATTGGTATGAACCTCGAGATCCAGTGCGGCTCCGAGGGCTCTCTAGGTCAGTCGAAGAGGAAGTCGCCGTCACGGTTGCGTGCCTTCGTCGACAAAGTCCACGGCTGCACGAGCGTTGCGTGCGGCGATGCGCACACAGTTGTGCTCTCGTCGTCGCAAGAAGGGCCCCGCGCGGCGGCGCAAGAAGATAACGGCGAGGCAGATGCGCTCCTGCTCCCCCCGGGAGTTCAGCTGGTGCCACCGACGGGATTGGGCAAGCCGCCACGGCTGCGCTACTCGCGGTCCCTGCCGACATTGGTGACTCGCTCTCGTGAGATGGAGTCTCTGAGCAAGGGGCCAGAGACCCCTCAGAGCATGACAAGGGTCCGCCCATCTGTAGCCGCTCTGCGCGGCCGCGCCGACCCCGTCACAGGAGGGCCCGATGCGTCCTTTGCCGGTTCCATCTCGTCTTGGCAAGATTCCGGCCGGAGCGAGGCCTCGACGAGCGAGACGGCGAGCACCCTTGAGTGGACGCAGCTGGACAGGCTCGGGCTGCAAAACAGCAACGTCTACCTCTCGCCCGAACTCAAGCGGCGACACAGCTTTGTTCTTCTCTGACTTGCTCCCTGCTCGGTGGCCTGGCCTCGATGAGGGGCGCAAAACGGGTCATTTACATACCGCGCGAAGCCCGGCCCTAGCGCCCATCCCCTAGCCCCACCATCCACCCCTAGCGCCCTTGGCGCGAGTCCTCTAGGTCTTTCCCCACAATTGGTTTTGTTTCTTTTCGTACAGGTTGGTGCGTACTCCACCAATAGCAGATTCAAATTGGGAATTTTGGTGTGACGTGTGACGTCTTCTGAGCACTGAGACGTCTCGCTGTGTGTGTCTCGTGGGGAGTGCGGTGTCTCTGACACTCGCGCGGGTCGCGCGGGCGGCGCCCGGGGGGCGCATATGCGCCGCGGCGGCGGCGGCGGCCGGCGCGGCTCTTCCCTGCGCTCTTTTTGTCTTTTCCTGATTTCTCGTCCTCTCCCCGCAAGAGCCGCACGGAATCACGTGTCGGGCTTGTCGGCCGCACAGAGAGAGACGCGCGCGAGAACTCTGAGAATTTGGCGCTACCCCCTGCCTCGCCTAGTAAAGATTCTACTAGATCTTTCGAGATTGGATGCCTGCTGGACAAATGGTACATGGCGACACAGGCCACTAATAAAACGGGAACCCGCTGTCACTCGCTAAGTACGGTCGCGGCACCTCGGGCGGGGCCTCGACAGGCGCCTCTATGCCTGAGCGGTTGGCGCCGCTGCCGATGGCTGCCGGGGTCGCGGCCTCCTCTACTTTTGCGCTCTCGTTGAAGATTTCGCGCTGGATCTGCGCCACCCAATCGCTGCTCGCGCCGAACGCCTTGCCCACCGCCTGGTCGACGCGCGCCCACGTCGCGGAGAGGGAGGCGCTGCTGCTCGCGGCAGCGCCGGCCGCCGACGCCGCGGTCGCGTTCCATCCCGCCCCGACTGACGTGCTGGTGGATGCGAACCATGACTCGAGCGAGGAGGCGGTGGCCTGCGGCGAGGCACGAGGGGTGTGGCGCGGGCAGCACCTCTCTAGCGCCCGTTCCTTGCCGGTGATGGGCGTTTGTGGTCGGGCAAGCTGGAGGCGGGCGGGTGGGCGGGCGGAGGGGCGGCGCGCCTCGAGCGCTGCAGAAGCGGACCTCGCCACTCGCTCGAGCTTCATCGCCTGCACTTGCGAGTCCATCTTCTCGAACAAGCGGCCCGTGCGGTACACAAAGACGGCCTGAGGCGGAGCAGCGGAGAGCGGAGTGGAGAGTGGCGCCTCGCGGGAAATGGGAGGCAGAGGCGGGAGGCGGGAGGCGCGGGAGGCGCGGGAGGCTCGGGAGGCTCGGGAGGCTCGGGGGGAGTCTCGCGGCCGGTGCGCCGCGCGCCTGGCGCCACTTTTCGAGGATGCCCACCTACAGCCACGCACCTCCCCGCACCGTCACACGCGGCTCTCTCCCGCCTCCGCCATAAGAAGTCACAGGCCTTGTCGAGGATCCAATCCCAGACGGTGAGGGCGAAGGCGGCGGCGAGGCGAGACAGGGCGCCGAGCTGGTTCGCGAGGGTGGTCGAGTAGGCGAGCAAACACCCTCCGACGATCGCGCGCGCTGCGGCGGCGGCGGTGGCCGCGCCCGCACCGCCGAGGCCGGAGAGGGCGTAGTGCAGCGCCAGGCCGGCGGCGGAGCCGAGCGCGAAGGAGGCGCCGAGCAAGCGGCGCGAGGCGAGCTGCCTGCGGAGCGGGTGCCGTGGGCGCGTGTCGCTGGGGCGTGTCGCCGGGGCGTGTTGTGGGCCTGTGTGGTGCGGGTGGTGGAGTGTCGGGGCGTGTCGTGGGCGTGTCGTGGGCGTGTCGTGGGCGTGTCGTGGACGTGTCGTGGACGTGTCGTGGCGTGTCGTGGGCGTGTCGTGGGCGTGTCGTGGACGTGTCGTGGGACGAGTGCTCTGGCGATGAGGCGATGCTGCACCTGCTCGCGAGTGCGAGCGACGAGTTGAGAGCACCCAGCGTCGAGGTGATTGCGCGGTCGATCACCTGTTGGGTGGACTTCATCGCTAACTCTCAACTCTCACTGCCAGTGTCGAGTTGCCTGCCGCGGGTCTAGGAAGTGTCTAGGACGTGTCGAGGACGTGTCTAGGAGGTGTCTAGGAGGTGTCACCTCGCCCGGCTGGGTGCGCCGCAGCCGCTCGCGCTGCCGAACGAGCAGGTCGCGCGAGTGGAGGATCGAGGCGAGCCGCGCGGGCGTCACGCGGCCAGCGGCTGGCGGGGCGACGGCGGGAGGCGGTGCGGAGGCGGCGGCAGCAGTCAGCTCCGGCAGCTGGATGCCTTCGGGCAGCTGGATGCCTTCGGGGAGGGTGAGCCCGTCGGGCAGGTCCGGCAGCTGGATCACCGACGAGGCGAGCCTGCCCGCGTCCGACACAACCTGCGGGAAGGCCCCGAGAAGGTCAGGGAAGGGCCCTGCGAACTGGAGCCGGCGCCGGATGCCAAACCTTGTCGATGTCGGAGGCCACCCGGTCCGTGATCTCCTTCGCGGAGACCTTCGCCATCTGCTCGATGTCGGAGGCCACGCGGTCCGTCACCACCTTGGCCGACACCTTTGCCATCTGCTCCGCCGACCAAGTCAGCCGCTCGAAGTCGCCTCTCGTGAGCGAGTCGAGCGCGGAGGTCGAGAGGGACTGGAGCAGCGCCTCCGCCTCAGCGAGCGCTCGGATCATGTCCGCGTCCGCGTCCGCGTCGTCGGCGGAAGCGTCCGCCTCCTGCTCGACGCGCCGCCCCACCAGGCTGCTGCTTGCGGCGATGGTCGCGGCGTCGACCAGGCGCGAACGCAGGCCTGGCAGCGGAGCCGCGCCGCGCAGCCGAGCGGCCGTGTTTGCGAAGTGCGACACGATGCGGCGCGGGATCCGGGCGGAGAGCGAGCCTTGCTCCAGGGCCTCCACGCGCGACTCGAGCGCCTGTACCCGCGCCAGTAGGATGGCGACCTGCTCCGGCGTCAGCATTACCGGCGGCGCGGCGGGCGCCGCGCCCGCGCACATCCGTGGTTTCAGCACGGCTGGTCGCGGCGGGCTCCACAGCGCAAAGACCAGCAGCGCGGGCAGCATAGGAGAGAGTGAACGAGCGAGGGCCGGCGGAGAGGAGGAGGAGGCCGGCCAACAAACCGGGTCGTCTTCAGGAAGGTGTTTCGTTGCTTGGGCGGAGCCCTGCCGAGGTAGGGTAGGTCTGTGCCCTCCCGTCGGGTTTTCCCTCTCTTCACGCCGGAATTTACACGGCAGAAAAAGATTTTTTCCGCGAAATCACGATGTCAACCCCCTCCCCAAGTGGGACAGAGATTTTTAGGGCGGTGGGTCCGTCCACTTACTTCATATAACTCCTTAGCGCTTAGGTTTGGGCTTGTTTGGCCCACATCGTTTGGTTTTCGCCATTTCCCTCCATTTTCGCTTCACTGCGCGGATTGCTGCTGTTACGTCTTCGGTCCGAGTCCCCGCGGGAAGCCCCGCGCATAGGGCAACAACGTCTGTCCCACACACGCACAGACGCGCACATACATCATGCCCGGGCACCCCCCACAGTGTAGTGGTGTGAGCACACAAGTACTAGCAGAGTGCACACCTGCCTTGGCGGGTGGGTCGTAAGAATCAAAGCCCTGGAGGCGTGAGGGAGGGTGTAGAGGATGTAGAGTGTAGAGCGCTGTAGAGCTGTAGAGATGTAGAGCGCTGTAGAGCTGTAGAGCTCTACATCCGCCGCGTGACGAAGCGCCTGCTTTGTAGAGCGATTCAGAGCCGATTTTTGTTTTAGACTTTGCTTTAGAGCCTCTCAACCAAACCGCCTGGAAGCCAGTGACTCAAAGAGCTCGAATCGCACTAATGGGGTGTCTCCGAGCTTGCTGGAGCTCTGATGGACGGGGCCCTGACTATCCCTGACACACAGAGAGTCACTCTGACAGCACACAACACCCTATAACTCTGCGTCATGACCAGCCTGCCATGCGTCGCCGGTGCCGCATTCGTCGCTGTGCTTCTTTAGCGCAGGCGGTGGACTGTCGGCTGCGAGGACGGTCGCATTTGCGTGAGGCGAGGCGAGCATTCAGACGCGTTGCATGCGCCATGCCTCGCGCCAGCGCGTGCGGGAGCTCCGTGGCTGAGCGTTGAGTCCAGGCGAGTTGCGCTGGCCACTATCGCTACACCTAGCCGAGCTGACGCGCCGAGGCGCCGGCCAGTCGCAGCCGTGAGGCATGCCACAGCAGCAGAGGCACCTCCCACCCATTGGGCGGGCAGACAGAAGGCCAGGGCAGCACTGCCACTGGCAAGTGCAACGCGCCTCATGTCGGAGAGGACCGTGCCTCGTTCGCCGCTGATATAGAGTTTGTTGTAGAGATTTCACGTTGTAGAGCGCCTCTACATCGCTCTACAACGCAGGCGCCTCGTCACGCGGCGGATGTAGAGCTCTACAGCTCTACAGCGCTCTACATCTCTACAGCTCTACAGCGCTCTACACTCTACATCCTCTACACCGTCCCTCACTACTCAGTCAAAGCCTCTTGGACTTGGTGTGCCAAACGTGCTCGAGCGCGCCGAAGAGAGACGATCTACGCTCGAGGGAGTTAGCGAAAGTCGCACGGGCAGAGGGGAGCAGACCGAGGCCTCCGGCAGTCCGCACCGCCTCGCGAAAGGGAAGCAATCACAACGATCTCGATCAACTCCAGCCCCAGCTTGGACTTAGGCAGATTTATTTGTTTTGACTTAGGTGCGCGAGCGCCGGCGCGTAGGTCGCGACCGACCGACGCGCAGCGCGGGCACGTCGCGACTGGGGATAGGTCAATGTCCACAGACCCCAATCCGACAAGGCCCGAAGAAGAAACCCTGGGCGAAATTTCAAAAAGAAATCTGCGCCGCGCAGACTCCGCGCAGTGGCTCCGGCGTGTCCGTTTTCTTTGCCCAGTGTTGTCCGGCAACATTCTTCTTTGCGGCTCCGGTGGTGAGCCTGTGTGTGTGCCAGTCCGCGCCAGTCTGCGCCCTTGTCGTGCCAGTGTGCTGTGAGAGAGGCTTGTCGCTTAAGAATTCTTCTTTGTGGCACCTTGTGCTCCGCCGCTGCCGCCGCTGCCACCGACCCGGCACAAGGGCACTGTCATGCACATCACCGTCGTGGGAGGCGGCAACTCGACTCCCATCTTCGCTGCGCTCGCCAAGGACGCCGGCCACGAGGTCGCGACCGCCGCGCCGCGGATGGCTGAGACGCGAGAGCTCAGCCGCTGACGCTTCGATCCCTCGCCGTCAGGTGGCGATCCTCACCCGGCGGCCCGCCGACTGGAACAAGGACGACATCGGCTTTGTCAACGAGGACCTCGACTACTTCCCGCAGGCGGAGCTGCGGGTCGGCATCGACCTCGTGACTGACGACCCGGCGCTCTGCATTCCGCAGACGGACCTGATCTTCATCGCCGGGCTGCCGATCCACCACAACCCGACGGTGCTGGCGCGGATCCGGCCGCACCTGGACATGCAGAAGAAGGTCTTCATCGGCTCGATCTGCGCGTACGGCGGCTTCAACTGGGTGGCGGCGGAGGCGCTCGGGCCAGGCAACTACTCACTCTTTGGCACGCAGCTGATCCCGTGGTGCTGCGGCACGCTCGAGTACGGGCGGACGGGGCTGGTCATCGGGGCGAAGCGGCTGCTGCGGATCGCGACCGAGGACGGACGCGACTCTGACGGCGTCAAGCCCATCCTCGCCAAGATCCTCAAGATGCCCTTCCTCACCGACACCGACTTCATCGCGAGCACGCTCTGGCCCAACAACCCGTCGCTGCACCCGCCCATCCTGTACGGCCTCTTCAAGGACTGGGACGGGAAGAGCCCGTACGACCCGGACAAGGAGCGGCGCCCACACGACCGACGCCGCTCCCACCCGCAACGCGCACGACCGCTC